CGCCAGGGCAAACTGCATACTTAAATTAAAAAACCCCAGCAGTCTGAAAATGCCCAAGAGTAAGCAGGCCTGCGCTTTTTGTCGTATACACAAGGCTCTGTTATTGTCTCCTGTCCTAAACCAAGAAAGCTGCTGGGCATTCAGTAGAGAACTGTAAGACAATTGCATTAAGAACAAAAAGAGAAGAATAAGATTTAATAAGCCTTCATGTCAAGAGCTCAGTTTTTAGTGTGGGTCACTCATAAGAGGTTTCTTTAGAGTCTCAGATTGGCAGCGACCACCAAAATGTTGTTTAATGTGCTTGAGTGCCCTTGTGAGTGTGGAATGGTAGTTGTGTAGGAGTGAGAGGTGGGGAGGGAAATGGTGTAAAGCGAATCCCAGCCCGGGAGGCCTGGCCACCTTTTAGGCAACCCAAGTCACTAAGCTGTGACGGGCTTCTGCGGGTCCTGGGAGGGACCAGGTGAGACCTCTCCCTTCATGTGGCTTTGACGAGGCAGCAGTCGCTGTGACCGTGCCCCAGTGATAAAGCCGGTGGTCCTAGGGTGAGTCAAAAGGGGAAGGAGAACTCAACCCACAGGGGTACAAGACAACGCTAATTTTCTGGAGAGAAACCATTCCCAACGCCTCGTGACATGTAGTCAAAGAAAGGCACTCTGCGGTAAAGCGAGGGAGGCGGCGAGGCGAGCGCAGTGCGTGCTGTGACCCATCGCTGCCTGCGGACGGGGCAGGCCGGGGAGGAGGGATGCAGCCTGGCGCTCAGGAGCTTTCTTAATACGCCTTTTTCTTCCTTTTGCAAAGTGCTATTTTTAAGTCATGTGAAGTAGAGAGTGTTTATATCCACCTTTTGACTAAAAGCATTGTAATTTTGCGACAACAAAGGCAGGAATTTAGGGAGTGAGGTTATGTGGCAACAAAACCTGTTTATTTCTATTGTTCTTTGGAACAGACAAGTTATCTTGAGTCGCACACTTTCAGCAGTAAGCGTTATGTTGGTGAGCAGACCCCCTTTCTTTGTTCATACATAGCAAGGGGAAGTGGCAGGGAAGTTTTTGCTGTCCACTGAAGCAGGGGAGGATCAGGGACGGTGCAGCACTAAGCTGCTTCCCTGGTTCCTGTTTGGCAGGCTGGCAAGGGGGAGAACAGTGTACAACAGCTCTCAGGCCAACGCTTGGCAGAGTTTTTCCTGAGCAAATGAATTCAGTGTTTTAACCAGTTGTTTCCGGACTGATAAGGTGGCGGAATAATAGGCACAAAGTCCAAGGGATGCCCAGTCTGACGTTGCTGGAGTGCTGTGTCTGTTTTGACTGGGGTCTTCTATATTGCCTGCAGGGGTTGCGTCAGCCATGAGGAAAGACAAAGTTTGGAGGCGGGAGTAAAAATGTTAACTTTTACAAGACAAGCAACTTTTCCAATGTGAAATGATGGAAAAAACTGGATGTGAAATAAGTTTCTAGGTTTCATTTCTACTGAAATTACTAGCAAACCTGATCCAGATTTGTGAATAATCTTGGCATCCCTAATAAAAGCCTTTCAATGGATAATTGAGCTACCAGAAGTGTTCCTAGGTCCGTTCCTGAGCGTCCTCTTACAGCGTGCAGCACACTTACTGGGACTTCCAGAAAAGTGTCATGTGTAGGATCCAATTTTTTTTTTTTTTTAAGTCTAAAAGGGAAAATACTTTGTTAAGCAGATATTTCAGTTCATAATCTTCATTTATTAATTTAAATAAAACAAAATACTGGATTTGGATACAGTAGTTGGTAGTATTTCACAGCCTGTGAACAGAACGGGAATTATATTACTGTACTTAGGCACATCAGTGATGTCTCTTTGACGATGGTATGACAGTACTGGCTGTAGTGTCTTTCCATTTACTAAAAATTGCATATTTTATGTCAGAAGAGACCAAAATTTACGATCATTAAAGTTGATACCAGCTTTGCTATTGCTTTTAATGGAAGCATGATTAAACTGACAATATTTCAATTTGTATTACTTTTCTTTGGAACATGCCCACTTTAATGACAATAATTGTAATTTAATAGTATGTCCAGCTGGCAGTTTCTCGATACATTGCCTGCCTTATTTGTGGTAATGACATTTTGGTATGTTGTCTAGAGATACGGCACGATATTTTACATCACTCATTGAGTCTTTTTCAGTTGTCATAAGCAGGTCCAATTCAGTTATTTCAAGGTTGTTTCTGCCTGTGAACTGAAGGAACAGGCTCATGGTTAGAATCTACAGGCTTTTTTTGTCTGGGAGTATATTGCAATAATGAAGTACTTAAAACCTCTCGGAGAGCCTCTAGATATGCTCCCTTGTTACGAATTATAGAAATTATTTTGACATCTTGTATTCGGGTATTGCGTATGTTTTCCTTTCTAGAGCTCAGGTATTTGATTTTGCTGGAAGTCAGGTAATTCTTTGGAAAAGGCACTTTCATGCAACATTTTCTAAAAATAGTTAACCCCCCATTATCTGGCATTAATATTTTTAGCAGAAAACTTCTGACTGGCTTGGCTGGCTGCTTCAGAGGTGTGCATGTGCCAGTTCCTCCCAGAGTTTTCTAGAATTTAACATATCTAAAAGTGAAGAACCTGAAAAAACCTTCTCTGCTCTGCGGTGATAGGGTCATGGATCAGGTAGACCTTCCAGATGGCATTGCGCAGATCTTCTTATACAGAGTGTGCCAAAAGAGAGGGAGGGTTGTTTTTTGTTTGGGTGTCGTGTTTTGTTTTGTTTTTTTTTTAAAGTTACATTTCAATAAAAACTAGAAAGGTAACTGTTTTTTTCTTCTTAACAGAGAAAACCTAAAGCCACTAGGGAGTACAGGAGAGAAATCAGCCCCAGCCCTCTGTGTTTTTTCAGGCAGGTTTTTGCCTCCACACTTAGATTCAGTTGGTTCAGTGGCAGCGTACTTCCCCAGGAAACATTTCCACCATTTCAGAGACCTGGCTGTGTGCTCCCTGTTCTTCACCGCCGTGTTGTAACATCTCTGCATTAACTACAGGTTCCTGGGGCTATGCCATGGTTCTCACGCCCTGCAGTCTTTCAGATCTTCTCTGTTTTGAATAGGCTTGGTAGCTCTTCAGGAAATGGAGCAGTCTCCTCCTCCTTCCAAGGGCATCAGCATAACCATTTTTTCAGAGAGGGTAACAGAAACTGAGAACGTACAACTGTTTGTCACATTTGTTAATAAAGAGAAATGCTTGTTCTTTTTGCAAAGTTCAGTGAGTGAAAACAGACCCTGCATTCTGGGTCTTGCACTGCCATCAAAACTTGGAGTTACTTTGTGCGCATCACCTGTCTTTTTTTTGTTTCCATTTCAAGGCTGTTAAGATGAACCAAGAATGATCATGGTTGGAAAAGCTCTTTCAGGTCTTTGAATGCAAGTTATTCTTTAAGAGCTTCTGCTTTTTTCTTCTTTGTAGGAAAGAGATGCTTTGAAATATTGAATGGTCTTGCTCTGGATGCTCTATCGAATGCTGGGAGCCAAATCCATACCCTGTGCACTCTGTTGCTGTGGAAATTTAAGCACCATCAGAATGCCATCAGGCATTTAGAAGGCCACAGGCTGGTGCTTGTGACTGAGCAATCCTTCTCTTGCAGAACTTGTTTCTGCAAAATTTGTTTGGTGGCTTTTGGACTTTCCTCATTGCTGTCTTGTGTTTTCTTGTTGCTGCTTGGCTCATCCAGGGTCAACATTGGCACTGTCGGTTGAAATGTTTGCATAGACAGGAGGCAGAACTAGAATGAAGGGTAGTTTTTTCCTTGTTAGGCATGTGGAGTTAAAGCCTTATTTACGGCAATTTTGCTCCAGTGAGAATGGGAGGGAGGAAAGAACAGAGTTTAGGAAGAAGATATCTGGGAGAGAACAACAGGATCAGCGTCCACAGACAGAGCAATGACAAAGAGTGGAGAAGGCAGAGGGAAGAGGTGGTGAAGAATTTGCTCACCTCAAGGTTTGTTTCAAAATCAGAATTGGTGCTCTGCCAGTGTGTTTATTCAGCACCAGGAAACTGTGATATAATATTACGGGGCTGTATGTTATCCTTGTGATGTGTTTGCATTCTGTATCATTCTCTTTCTGCTGAAATAATTGCAGCAAAGGATATGATACGTAGTGTCCTGCATCTGTTCCAAGGTCAAGTACAGCATATGTGTGAAAAATAGTTTCTAAACTTTGTCTTCGTCGGTGTGCTTCCTGAGACAAGTTACAAGAGGCAGTTAGAATTAACATTCCAAGCAAAAAGGAAGCATTAAAAAAAAAAAAAAATCACAACCTGGATTTGAGCATGAACTTTTCGAGCATTGGTTTGAAAATGTACCTGCTGACGTTACTGGCATATTTTCTTCTATTCCACAAAAACATTCTTGGGCTGTTCAAAGCTAAGGCTGCCAAAGTTCGGAGAGGTTTAATTTTGAGTGTACTTAATTCAGATGACAAGAACAGTCTATTTATTTTGTGACCTATTTATAGCCATTAAACAAACCGTGGCAAATGGATCTGCTTTACTTAATTCAGTACATTTGGTGGAAGATTAAGAGCATGGAAAATACATTCATGGTAATAGGTATATTTGTGTCTGATACCGTGCAAATCTCTGTGTAGTGCAGAACTGTAATATTTTAAATAAAAGTAGGAGTTTACTCTGCAAGACAAAGAATTGAAAATAAAATATGAATCTTAATACTTAAGATGATTATTAGTTAACTACTTTGGCAGATCAAATAATGGGGGCATTTGATTATTTCTCATTGCGACCTATATGTGATCACACTTGTAAATCTCCAAAAGTAGTATAAACATGAAAAAATATGATTTACGTTCTGGTTAATTTTAATAAAAGCAACACATTTTGAGGTTTTTTTGATTGTATTTTGTTTCGAGGTGTTCCAAGCATGTTCAAAGAGTTGATGTATTTTTCCCTAACAGAATATTTTTATATTCCGTGTGTTACAGAGCTGCTAACTGAAATTCTCCTTTTGCTTCTCAGGTTGTTTTTGAAGTGGTCACTTCAGGTCACCCAGGATATGTGGCTATTGATGAAGTGAAAGTTCTAGGACATCCATGTAGTAAGTACCTATCAGCTATTTTAAAACCAGGCCCCTAAAACGAATGTGCCACTATGCTTCAATAAATGTGGAGCAAAAGATAAGGAAAATGTCAGAAAACAATGTCACTGCTATAAATATAGGCTGAGTATGTGCGAAGTGTTGCTAGCATTTGAGCAGCGCACCTTAATGGCTTTAAAGACATCTCTTATGTGCACCTTGGGTACAGCGCTTGGCATGAGCCCCAGACCCTAACTGGGCCATTTAATGACTCCTTCAGAACAAAGGTTGTCAAGATTTGTTGACCAGTTTTCTGTCTGCATCAAAAATTCGGTGCAGCCACAAGCTGGGACATTAGTGAGAGCAGATGAACAACACAAGAGCTGAATATATACGGTTATTTTTTCCAAGGCTTAGAAGGAAGAAAACTCAGCTGGCTGCAGGCTGAGGCTTTGCCGAGCAAGGTGACTTAGGGTACTTCCTGAGATTCCTGGCTCAATTTCTGCACTGTTTTACTTCCTTATGTTTTGGATATGGTTCCGTATCCCATGATTAAAGATTCCTGGCTCAATTTCTGCACTGTTTTATTTCCTTATGTTTTGGATATGGTTCTGTATCCCATGATTAAGGATATGTAATGCTTACCTATCTTATGTTCTTTTAAAACACATGTTGAAACAAACCCATGTAAATTAAAGCTTTAATATAGTAATCCAGATGACATTGAACAGAGTACTTAAATAAATGATTATTTCACATATTTGCTGTTTGTTAAATAATGTGTATTAAGATCATACATGGAATTGTAGGTTGTAATCTTATTGACCAAATGACAGAGTGGGGAAAAAGACACCAAATTTTGTGTAATTGTTCACCTTCTTCTCATACCATATTGCGCTTGTATGCATTCTTGTGGCTTGTAAGTAAGAGCTGTGATTTAAAATAAAAAGTCGTTTATCGGTTAGTACCAGAGTACCTCATAAAAATGGTTTTAGTGTTCGTGGCAAGAAGACACAGGCATTTCTTTAAATATGGAGACAGTTATGCAGAATCAGCAGCTGTTATTTCTGAATCACTTAATTCTAATAAACACAGCAGGCTCTCATGTTGTTAGACAGTATTTGTGCTTCTGCATTTTGAATTTATATCTTTGGTTCAGGTAGGGTAAGTCTAAAGCAGCATTTTATCAGCATAGTAATTTTTCTTATACAGGTTTTGGGAGGTTTGATCTGTGCATTTGTACCAATCAGTTCTCAAAACCTGCAAGTAGCTCTTGTTCATGTGAGTTACAACTCACAGTGTGTAGAGTTCTAACCTGACAGTGTTGAAATGTAAAAGTTCTTTGATGAAGTAATTACAATGTTAGAAATTAAGACATCAAACCAGTTACGTTGTCTACAAGAAAACTGAGGAAGTGTGAAAGTTGGAATAGAACTACTGTGTGTCTAAAACTTTGCAAGACATAATACTGTTCTTCCTGTGTATTGCCAGAAAAAAAAACTTTTGGAATGATTAACTCTTTAAACAAAAATTGAAATGGGAAAAGTGTTTGCTAGGCAGTTGTCTGGGTAGTACGAACAAAGACCAAGCAGAAGGCAAGTTGCAAGCATGTAGAACTGAAAGGGATGAATTGGGGTGAGTGGATGATTGGGGCTTTTCTTCTGTGTGTGTGTGTTTATTTTTAAAACTTAGCACCCCTCTCCACTTAGGAGGTAATACAGAAAGGCTAGTTTTCCAGAGTTTAAGACCAAACAAAAAACCAAGTGGAGTAAAAGCAGATGTAAAAAAAAAAAAAAAGTGACTGAGAAATGGGGAACTTACTGAAGAATTTTACTGGATAGTCAGACATTAATAGTTAGATAGGCAAAGAAGAGGATGACTTTGGCCTAAAGTCTGTCTGTCCTAATTGGGAAGTATTTAAGAAAGAAAAAGCAGTATGTCTAATAACTTTGCCATAAGGACAGTTCTCATGAAAAGATTTTCTTCCATAGTTAGGTACTAATTTGGGCTATTTTATTCCATCTCCTCCTTCTTATACTGCCTTGCACTGGATATTAAGTAACTTTTTATTGAATTCTGGTAGCTGGCTATTTATAAATTCTTTAAAACTGCAATTTCTCCTGGTGATAAGGTCTTGTAAGAAAATGTCATCAACATTTTAAATAGTTGTGATGCTCTGCTAGAAAATGTATGTTTAGTTTGCCAGTTTGTTGCTAGTACGAATATTCCCATGTCTGAAAGTCATGTTCAGAGCCTGGCTTGTCTGCTAGTATAGCCAGTGCAGTAAGTCCCCTTGCCTGCAGTGAGATGTGAACGGTTGGGGAATACGGCCTTTTCAAGGATAGGTTTCTGTATCAAACTTCTGTTTTTCTGTGTCATGTGGTTGACTCTTTCGAGTAAAATGAAAATACACATGCTATCTTTCCTCCTTCAGTGGACATAGTTCTTGTTTGAAGATCTGTTTCATTTCTTAGTTTATTTGTAGCTGTAGTACTTTATTTTTTACTAGGAGTGTTTTCTCTTTCTAAATGAAAAATAAGTACTGGCATGGAGAATGCGTTTTGTTTTGATTTTTTTATGCAGTGTTGTTGAAAATGATTGTGTTTAAAGAATACAACTGTAGTTGGTGAGAAGTGTTATGTTAGTATTGTAGCTGTTTGGTGTGCTACATTTCTGAAGCATCTCTGCTATAAACTCTGTACCTGATTAAAAAGAATAACCTGTTTCCCTGACAATATCACTCGACTTCTTACTGTTTTGTTTAGTTGGTAGTTTAGGTATCTAACAGGGTTTTGTTCAAAACGTAATTAGTTTCCAATATGATCTTTATTAATAGAGTGTTATTGCAAGAGGGATGCTGAGCTAAGATAATTTACCCAGCAGGAACAATTAAATAGCACCCTTCTCCTCTGCTTTTTCCCAGGTACGAAAGTAAACCAGCCTCAAATCTAATGTGTAGTCAGTGATTTGAACCTTTTAAAGCAGGGCTATTTCACTTCTTCAGTGTATTATTCATAGCCAGTGCTTCTATGTTGCATAACTTCAATACTTTATCTTCTACCAACAGCAAAAACTCCCCATTTCTTGCGTCTTCAGAGTGTGGAAGTCAATGCAGGACAGTTTGCTACTTTTCAATGCACTGCCAATGGTGGAACGGACTCAGGTGACAGGCTCTGGTTACAGGTAATTTCTGTCTTTCCTAATGCACTGAGATCTGGGGGGAGGGCAGTTCGTCACTCTGAAAGGAATGTAAAACATGAAAAAGGATAGGGCTGTCCATTTCATCAATAGTAGATTTTATAGCGCCTTTGAACTGCTGCATAGTAGGTGTTCTGTTGTAGAAAATTATACTGGAAGACTTTCCTCCACAAAGGTACTGGTTTTGTTACATGTGGCGATCACGAGGAAAGGCTAACTCCCCGAGGAAGAGCACATGACTTTCTCATAATGTCTATGCTGGCTGACTGCAGCATTACGCATAACGATTTTCTTGGCTTACCTCTCTCTTGTTCGGTATTTTCAGGTAAAATTGGATTCTTGCTTTTTAAGTCTGGAGAAGACCAGTACAGCAGTCAAATCTGACCTCCTATATTATAGAGCCAAGGAATCTTACCTGTATTCATCAGGTCCACAATTTTTTACGTATTCAGTAATGTAGCTTCTAGACAGGTGACAGATCTTGATTTAAAGACTGTCTCCAACTCAAATTTTTTCAGTAAGGACAGTCTCCCCTCGTCCATATGTGTAATCTTGTATCAAAAAAATGCATCTTACTTGATCTCTTTTAGTAATGGGGGTGCAAGTTTAACTCCTGTCTTGCTGCCATCATTCCAGAGTTGTCTGTACTCTACAGCAAACAATAGACTGTATTTGGACTTAGCATTAGGGATGTACCAACCTCCAGATCCCTATGCTTTCCATACGTGAAAAACAATATGCTAGAACTGGAGCAATGTCTGTGAGAAGGAAATAAGGATGCCTAAAGCAATACCTAAGGAGATCAGTCAGGTGAAACTGCAGTATGTGAAGAAGGAGAGAGAGGAGAAATTGAAACCATGTAACAGGTGGGACTTAGAGATGAAATTCTCTGGTTTTGTTGTTTAAACAACAATTTCAGGCTTTTACTATAGCTTTCCTTTCACATTGTACTTGCTGCAAAATTTCATCAAGCATTTTGGAAATGATTCATTTAAGTGTGATAGGTTAAACAGCTGAGTTATAAGAAAACTGGTGCACAAACAAATAAGTAAAACCACTTGAAAAGCAAAGACTCATATTTATCTGTATACGAATGATGAACTGTTATGTCTACCCAGAAAGAGCCTGATCAAATACGGTAGAAGGCAATGGAAATCTCCTTTGTTTTTATTTGTGTTCGCATGGGTATTTTCAACCTCTGTGCTGATATAAGGCTGATATTTCTCTAATGCTCCAGTCCTTTGAAGCCAGCATTACAGTGTTGAATTGGTAGAATTAGAGTCCTGTCTTTCCTAAGCCACTGAGATTTTTTGAAAGAATGATTTTTCCAGTCATGAAAAGAGTTTGGCACGTATGAGAAAATAATGGGTTGCTATTTAATCAATGATAACCTTTCTGGAACCTTTGCATTTTTGCGTAATGCTCTTTTGTAAAATTGAAGGTAGAATTCAATATAGGGAAATCCTGATTCCATTCAGTTTTTCTATAGATTTCAGGACAGTATAATTTCAGCTTTAACTTTTTTGCGCAGAATTTAGGATGCATATAAATTCTTTGCAAGGCTAGGACATAATTTCTTTGTTTTAGAAATTAAATATCCTTCTAAATTTTATGTAATATAAAATCATTCTTCTTAACAGCAGTAGCAGTTCTGGAATATCTTTGCTGAGCTTTGTTAAGTGATTCCTTGTTTATCCATGATTATGAGATTATTTTTTTTTTTCCCCCCTCTCTATATGAAGGATGAGAAAGTAGTGACAGATTGACTTTTTGAGGCATTTTATCTTCCTACAGGGCCACTGTTTATTAATCTTGCCCATACAACTACAGGTCCCTCTGGTAATCAGTCCAAGGTTGTGCAAATTCCAGGTGTGCCTTTGTGTAAGAATATTTAAAAAGTTGACAGGATCTCCTGGATAGCTTGGATTTATTTTTGTACTTGTTTGCCAGTTTCCACAGATGTCTGCTGCAACTTACGGTAAGACTGATCAGACAGCTCCGCGTGTGGAATGCTGCAAATCAAGGCTATGAGATACAGTTCCCAACAGGATTAGCTGTATTTTAGTGTACTGGGTCGCTGTCGGGTAACAGATTCCCCAGGCCTTGCAGTTCTCCATCAATCAACTGAGACCATCTGGTTTCATGGTGTGACATTGGGGAATTTTGTATACGCCTGCTTACAACATCTCGTGACGCTGCCACAGGTCCATGGGTACAATGCAGCTATCTGTAATAGCTGTGAGAAAACATGGTATCTTCTACATCATATGACTGGTTAAATGGACGTTAAAGATCCTTTCGTTCCCAGTAACAGTAGAATCAATATTCAACTACAAAACATCTTAAAAGACATTCTTACGTACACTAGAGCCAGAATGAAATGAGCACCGTTCTCTGGAGACATTTATGCTAGCGCTTAACTAACAGGGATTCAGGTTTTAGTGATACGACAAACGGGCAGTGCAATCTCTCTGATAGGCCTGGTTTGTCCACCAGTAATATTAAGCCCTTTCTACCATCCTTTTAATGGTTTGTTTCTTTAAATTTATAAAACTTTAATGGCAAACCATAGTAAATAGATAAATATATAGTTGTGTGATTTTTGTCAGGGGCTTCTCAGCACTTCTGCCATGTAAGTCATATGAGGAGGCCTAATCTGTTCGGATTTGGCAATTCCAATGTATTGTGAGATCATTTGCTCGCAAATGATTTCCAGTACCTGTCTTTTTTTTTTCCAGATTCACATTGTTAGTCTGAAGTACGGGTAAGTTGCCAGGGTGAAATCCCAAACCCACTGACTTCAGTGACGTTTCTGACTGTTTCCTGTAGTGGCAGGATTTTACTCCTGTACTTCTCTCTCTTTTATATAGTACCTCTGAGCTGGTATGCAGCAGAAGACTTCAAGTTTAGTAGTACACATTTTTCTGGCAAACAAATATTTTACTTTTTACAGTCTGTTAGACTGTGAGGGATATATGTTCCTTAAAACAAGTGAGTAATTGTAACTTGTTTGGTTATTTTAGTCTCCTTGCCTTTGCTGAGTAGTTGTTGGAAACAGCATAGATGTTCTTAGTTTAATAATGCCTGGGCCTTGAGCAGTCCTAAGTGAAATCCATAGATCATATTTTGTTTTCCTCCTTTTTTTTTTTTTTCTTTCCAAGCCTATCCCACTCTTATTCCCTTTGGAATATGAAGTCTATTAATTTATGGAGTATTATGGAAATTTTTGCAATTGAAAGGGTGATAGGGGAACCACAATTCATAGGTTAGCTGCCCAAATTAGACCACTGAGCCATGAAATTTGTTTCATGATGCTGTGATCAGTATTTACCATTTGGGGAAAGGGAAGACAGAAAGCTGTTTACCTATTCCATAGTGCAGTGCTTTGCAAGAAAAATATTTTTCCTGATCCTGCTAGGCAGCTGTGCACCCTAGTGCATGAGGTATGATTGCAGGCTTGTCAGATAATCTGACAACAAACTGGGGGTATTTTCAGTGATATCATTTCAAGTTAAAGTCCAGCAAAAGGACTCAAAAAAACAGCATCGTACAAGTTTATTTTTGTTGTTATAACTAGCGTCCAATTAATAAGGTCATTGGCTAGATTGTATGTTTATAAATTCAGGTCCTTGTTAGCTTATGTTCTAAACATAAACATACCTTAAAAATAAATCTGATGACAGTAATGAAGGAGTGTTTATAATTAACAGATGTGTCCCATCTGCTTACGTTTTCTTTATCACATCTGTGGACAACACAAGTTATTGTCAGTATGGGATGACTCTTTCTATGCCGTTGAACAGTTGAGCAAAAATGCCTTTCCTGTGCTCTTCCCTGTGCTCCCACTGAAAGGGCTGTAGCAATTGCTATAGTTTATTTTCAGTTAAACAAATTCCTCTTTGAAACTACAAGCTGCAGAAGTTGACACCAACAATAAGATAAAGCTCTAGACATTAAAGGACCTGGGAATCCCATGGAATGGAAATACACTTCAGAAAAAAAGCCCTAACATTTGTAGGTGGGAGCCAAAGTTAGAATTTGGAAAGAAATTAACATGTGGAACACAAAACAGGTTATGATCAAGTGAAAGCAGCAGAGACAATGTCTTCTGAAAAGCTTGTGCTAGTATTAGTATTTAGTAAATTGGTACAAGAAACACAAATCTGTATTACAGGAGAAAGAGGGTAGAATACTTTTTTGGAAGTAACCTTCTTTTGCTGCATCCTAGAACACGGAAAAAGCAAACATTTTGCTTTCCACCAACATCTTTAAGCCAGGAATCTAAACTGTAGCTTGGAAATTATAATGAAGTTTAGAAAAATAAAGATTTACTTAAAAACAGGTAAATTTCTTCTACTGCAAGCCCAATGTATGCACATCCATAGATTTTCTTCTCTACAAGTGTATGAAGTTTGAACTGTCATGTATTGAATATTTACATATACAAAATATTATGTTTAATAGTAACTAAAATTAAAATTATTATCAAGTGAAAACTACTTAAATATTAAAATAAATGTTTCTAAGGCAATACTTGGGAAAAGCTGTGCCTCTGCAGCCTTAAAAGTCTGAACCTCTGGAGCCTACCTTTTTTAAGCTACATGCTAACATCTCTTTTTCCTGCAGAATCCCCGTCTCGTTCAGTATAGTGGACATATTCAGTTGATGAATAACTCCTTAGTATGTGGGTTCCTTCACACAAGTGTATTTAGGCCTTCACTTTGCATACTAAATACTATCTAAATCAGTTCTGAAAAGATGTTTATTAATTTTCTAATGGAATCTTTACTACTAATCTCAGTGCTTCACAATATTAAGTTGTTTCTGTGGGATGGATTGATATGATCTTCATTTTATGGTTGAGGAGCGCAGACAATGAGAAACAAAAGCAAAATGTATCTTTTACTTTTGGAAACAGGCTCTGAGACATCTGGACCTGCTTCTCTGCATGTAAAGCACCGAGCATGTTCCATGGTTGGTGTCTG